TAAATACAAATGTGTGTATGTAAGAGAACTCAGAGATGAATTTACAATCCAATCGAATCAAGGCGCAGAAAAGCGAAGGAAAGTCTATTAATAGGATTCGAACACATATATACATGGAAAAGAGGATAATTCATCGAGCGATATTTAACCTAGAGAGAGATATGTGATCAAGCATACATGTTTATACAGAAATGAAGGTGTTCATAATGATGCAAAGAGGTAGACGAATTTCTACTGTCTGAATAACATTGTTTGTTAAATAAATCATCTAATTTACGTAAATCAACCCATAATGAAGTATTTATGTTCGATTAATTCATCTAATATTATCTCATCCTTCTACAATGCCTATATTAATCTACTAATTCAAATGTTATCAAACTGTATGATAATTTTGTTGTATAATAATGAATATAGCACAGATATTCAGTGTTTGACAACGCTTTTACCAGCAACACCTTCTAATATAATTCGTACGCACCAGGGGAAATCAAAAGACAGAGTCGAGGAGATCGGAAGAGTGTATTTGGCGAGAACCAATATATCGGAATTCTCTGATCTAATCTGTCTGTCGATTGCGGTAGATGTTGAGCTCAGCGTTACCACACGTGATCTGTTGCGGATGTATGACCGAGCGCCTTCAGCTAGATGAGTCCACGAAAGCATATGGTCAGCATCCAATGTTGAGAACTTACAGAGATATTTATTTTGGGGATTTATTCACCGCTACAATAAGAAAGCATGAATAAATAAATAGTATAATAAGTAGTTTTGGGAAAGTGTACGTTATTATCTTGTGGGATCGGATATACGTTGCCCAGTTTCACAGTCTGAGAAGTTACCACTGAGATACTCAACAAAAATCATTTTGAATGATGTCAAAAATCAAATTCTAACAACTTCAACCACAGGTTTCTGCTGAAAGCATCTGTTCTTAAAAGATATTCGTAAGTGTAAATGATACTGCCAAGTAATGTTGATGGCTTCGAATTTGGAAAGACATTGATTTAACTACAACGATTTCCATGAAACTTTCTACTCTCTTTTGAGAATGCTAAATAAATTATGGTCTAGAGGTTAACCGTCCGCGCGTGAGACCGATAAGTTATGGGTTCAAATCTTAAAGGAAAGGATCATGCGTTTGCACTGCTGAGAAGTCCCACAGTAGGAGATAATGGCCGTCCAGTACTTCCAGGTTTTCCATGGCGGTCTAGCTTTAACCCAGCTCGATATAGGTGGAATTTCGTTCTCTGAGCTGAATGGTTTAGTCATAGAGCTTTCACTGTTCTCCTGAATTCATATTTCTTCACTTCTACCCGACACTTGTGCTGATGGTGTTGTTCAGAGGGACAAAACTCCACCTAAATCATCCACCTGAGTTATAAATTGTCTTCACCATCTCAGTTTGATGTATTAAAAATTTGACTGTTTATAAGTTAAGTAAATGATCTATAACCATCCAGCTCCGAGAACAAAACTCCACCAAAATCTATAACATACTGCATATAGCCATAATTTTTTTGCATCAGTTATAATACCAATTACTAATCATTAGTTGGTACGTAAATAAATCCTCATTTGTAGTCTGATCATCTTCCATAAACTTTGTTGTATCAATCCTTGTTCAAGTGTAATATTTATTCAGCATTATTTTTTATCTAAGTTAACACAAGTTGATATATATTACTTACTTACTTACGTACGCCTGTTACTCCCAGTAGAGCAAAGGCCACCGACCAGCATTCACTAACCCACTCAGTCCGAGGCAAGTCGATATACATGCGCGAGTCAAAACCATAATCTTATCGAGTTTCAGCAGCTTTCCAAAAAAATCTCGTTATCAAAAATGAAGTTTAAAATGATGAAGATTACTCAAATAAAATTTAATCGAAGAACAATGAACTTTAAAATTTCAAATTAACATAACGGACTTATTTTTATCATTAAATGTCATCTGTAAAAAGATAATGACCAACCAAGTTTAGTGATGTGGAAGGAAATCAATTCAAAACAAATTTGAACTTCATATGTAGATCAATTTCATTTGTATCAATTCTACTACTTGTAACAATTCAGTAGTTTGACTTACATTGAAATATTTCGAAAGTATCAAATGATAAAGATGATGTTTAGCAGATACGCATATCCTCCATCCTATTTGTTATTCGTCAGTTAGATGAACATGTATCTCACGTTTAATGTTTACTCAGAGAATATATATAACTGAAATGGACGAAATATGTATGGATTACAATAGTAAACTGTTGTACAAATGATTTGAAAATAATGTTCAGTTTGTCGTTGCGGAGAATGTTGAGTGTGCTTGAAACCATCAACAGAACTAGGATGAAACAGGCTTCCAGTATTCCACATTCTCAACAGTAGTCTGAATTAAATCGCACCCTGCTTTGAAAGAAATTCAACAAGCTGAATAACACCATAGTGAAAATGATCACGTGTTAACTAGTAACAAGCTTCGAGAGGAAGTTTCAAGAGTTTTAGTGAGAAATCATGACCGGTGTAAATAAACCTTGTAAGAACTCAATCTGTTACCCACCAGAAACTATAGATGACGGTCGTGCAATATCGTGGATTGATTGAGGTTCGATAATGACACTGTTGGACACTGTGTAAATGGTATACAGATTAAGTACTTGCTCACGAAACCGAATGTGGAGTGTTCGATTCTCACGTTTGTGCGTATCAATGCAGAACACTGAGGAGTCACATACTCAAACAATCTGTGTTCAGTGCTTTCAGGCTTTCAATAGTGATCCAAAATTGATCGATTATTCATGCATTTGAGCAGTGTTTGTACAATCCACTTGCTGACCACATACTCACAAAGACAAGTATGATATATTCAATCACTCTTCAATTCAACCATCCATTTCCCTTCTCAGCAAACTAACTCATGTGCCTCAACCTCTGAAGGTCTTGAAGAGCATCTTGGTTATTCTCACCTCACTACTGATGTCAAATTATTGACAAAACTTTACTGTTTTCGTCCAAACATTTCGAGGATCAACAAAACATCATTAACAATCGGATGAATATTGACAAAATATAAATACTAAATATAATGGTACACTATACCTCACGTCCAATCTCACTACGAAAACTTGGAAAACCTATTGTTGCACATATCCGATTACTTCTCAGATTATCTCATTTCCACAAATATAACAGATTTCAGTGAATCCCATCTATCCACATGGAACATTGTACGTGCATCTCAGTGAGTGAGTCGATCAGAAATATTTCATTCAATGCAATACACCACACTAGAATGACCGAAATGGGTTGCCATCATTTCAATACAATAACAGAACACGAAATAAAACAAAATGAATTTTTGAACTAATGAAGTAACGCCAATTCATTTTGTTCAGTGTATGTTGATAAACTGTTTAAGTAGTCACAGGTACTCTCCTCATCTCCAAAGAAATGCATTAGGTCAATGTTTTATTAAAGCTAAACTATCGATTTCACAAACTGGAAATGAGACGTGAAGAACTCAACAAATAATAAGTCGAGATGTATAGGAAGGTCTGTATTCTTACGAACCAGGAGATCTTGTGGGATAACTCCATGATATTCACGTTTAAATATGAAGATTGCCTAATCAAATGTTTTTTCGTAATAGTAACAGATTCTTATATAGTGGAAATATTTCTCAACAAGTTCAAACTGTGTTATCTCAAAATATTTACATCAAAATCCAACCTTCAACTCCATCCCATTCCATTCCATCATTCAGTGGATACTATTCACAATCTCTCATCACTGACAACATTCTTTCTTGTAGATGGTTGAATAGCAAGCTAGTTGTGTCTCTGTGTCAATGTAGCACACAATCAAGCATATGGTTGTCAATTGTATCTGTTCAACAAGTTGACATGATTTGAAGAAATGTGTGCCAAATGAATTCCACAACTAATATCACTGTAGATGAAGTAACGTGGATTCTATTGACGCTGTTCAGTGTGATCCTGTTTATTCGAATTTGTACGGAGATTGACCTATGTCATTTTAATAGTTGGTCGGTGATACTTCAACACACACTATGTGTATATGACCACTTAGTGGACATAATCTACATTCTGAAAAGACTACCAGATATGCAGTATTTACAAAGTATCTAGTTCATCCAATTTATCTTGGTCTACCACCAAACTAATAATGATGCCTATGTGGATAGATTATTTTTAGTGTGATTATACTATCATCAATCAGTCATGCAATTGGCTAAACTGTATTTATCATCACTGTATTATTAATAAAATAATTATCTTGTTTGTTGTAGTGGATATGTGTTAAGTAAACATGCTTTTCATATCTCACACTAATCATGTCCATGAAAACATGTTGAACATAATTGTTCCTATAAGTGTCACTTTCGTATTTCAAATGTGAATTCCCTATTCATTCACAATTTCTGTCTGACATCGATTGGTTTCGCGATTGGTTCCGTGACTTGTCAACATGATACTCCTCACGAAGGGAAAATTTAATTTTCATCAATCTGGTGAGACGAGTTGATTAATCAAAGTATTAACAACATAATCGATGGCTTAAATCCATGTCGAACGGAGACAGTTCAAACAGTTCAACTATGGCATGATGAAAATCGATTAATCGTGTAATTCAGTCAGTGAGTCAAACTGAATAATCAACGTCTTCTGAGTGATAAGATGAGATTTGTCTAACACAAACAAGCAAAAGAAACGGCACAGATTATGCATACTAACACTAAAACACCAGTTATCTTCCTCATCAAAATCGGAACTGTTCTATATTGAATCATGTTTCAACGTATGTTCGATTAGTAAACCGATACCTGATCACATTACCAAAATCAAAACTGAACAGAAATGCAACTATTCAATTATATTTAAACACGAAGATAAACAGTCAATATTTATCTAAGTAATCACAGCATTCTAGCTCATCTCCATTCAAATCTTTACCAACACTTCCATTCTCAATCTAATATCAGTTTACATCAATTCACGTTTCACAACACCACCCATAAGCGATTTTTCAGCATTTTCATCATATACAGATGGCCCATCAACAGACTCATAAATGTCTTGTTGATTTTCATCAAATCCTATGTTATCGTATTGTTGAGGTTGTTGAAAATGTGGGAATTGTTTAGGTTGCATATTTATCCCTCCCATTTGCATTTGAGGCTTAATGGGTGGATATCCATACTGTTGTAATTGTTGTTGACCTTGTTGTGAAGGATAGAAAGCTTGTGCTAGTTTTAACTGTTGTTGACGTTTCATCATTTGTGATTGACCAATGGGTTGTCCATATCCACCCTGTCCTCTGTTTGAATTGGAAGATTGGGAGCATGAGCTCATTGGTTGTTGTGCATTGTGGTTAATGCTCTCTCCCATTTGTCTCTTCATCATCATATTGGATGAGTAGTATTGTTGTTGTTGCTGTTGTTGTGATTGCTGTTGTTGCGGTCGTTGTTGTTGAGATTGCTGTTGTGGTGATCTTTGTTGTTGTGAATTTTGTTGTTGTGGTTGTTGTTGTTGTGGTTGTTGTTGTTGTTGTGAATTTTGTTGTTGTGGTTGTTGTTGTTGTTGTGAATTTTGTTGTTGTGGTTGTTGTTGTTGTTGTGAATTTTGTTGTTGTGGTTGTTGTTGTTGTTGTGAATTTTGTTGTTGTGGTTGTTGTTGTTGTTGTGAATTTTGTTGTTGTGGTTGTTGTTGTTGTTGTTGCATCGGTTGCTGCTGTTGGCCATATGATTGTACACCTTGCATTAATTTCGACTTCAGTTGTCGTTTCCTTAATTTAGGTAGATTATTTGATGCTAAGTAATTATTTGCTGTTTGAATACCTTGTCCTAATTTCTTCTCATATTCTGCTATGTTTCCAACCGTACTTTTTAATCCATTCAAATTGATACTTTGTGATAAGTGACAACAACAACTCATCATGATTATGTATATGAATAGAGATGACATGAATTTATATGTGGCCAAATTGTTAATTTGCATTGTTCAATATGATCACTTGAAACATGAAAAGAAAGATGGAAACACGGTTTAATTACAGAATGAATACTCAGATGGAAATGTGTATGAATGGTGTATTAAATGCTGGTTTATGATGAACAAAAGAGAATGCATACATGTTATGACGTAATAATGATTAATAATGTTTGACGAAGGTATCCCTAACTAATAATAATAACTAATAATACGCACTGCTAAGGAGTCCCACATTAGGACGAAATGGCCGTCCAATGCTTCCAAGTTTTCCATGATGGTCGAGCTTCAAATGACTCATGAACTCAACTAGTGAATTACTATAATATCCACAGAATCCCCTACTGATATAATTTAACTGTTTATTTATTAAGACACTAGATTACAATGTATGTTCATTTAAAATTCACTTGGTATTGTCCACTTCATCGTCATTGGGAAGGTTCAAGTAACAACGATATCAAGTGAATTTCAACTTCATCCGATTGCACAAGCTAATAGCTATTAGGCCTCAGTATCCAAGTGGATAAAGCCATGGAGTCTGAAGCGAATGGTACTAGGTTTTATCTTCAAAGTATCCATCAACACTATGGTGCAAGTACATTGAACCGATGAGTCCCAAATAGGATGAAACGAGCATCTAGAATTCCACTCCTAGCCACTATCTATCTTTGCTTATGTTACGTTTGTTTGTATTCTCTGTCGTTGTCCTCTTGTCAAATATTTCTTGTGTGTTGTATTATACTATTTATCAATATTCAGTAAACAGTTTCATTCCTATCAATTTCTAAACATATGTTGTAACACAAGTTGTTCGTGTAATATTCGAAAATATTTACATAAACTCATAATATATATTGTACTTATCATCATAATTACTTCCTCTCAATCTCTGTAACAGTTATTCTGGAGTCCCATACTAGGATGAAATAGTCGTCCAGTATTCCCAGGTTCTCAATAATGGTCTAGATTAGATCGACTCATTAATTCAACTAATAAATTTACTACAATCGCCACAAATCCACATTCTGACAGTAATAACTTTTATGTTTTTGTATTATTGTTATTACTATCAGATCTGTATGAACATGTTTGCTTGATCATATGTTACAGCCGATGTACATATCCCTTTCTCCACCTTAAATGTTAGTTGCTTATTGATTGATTCGTTTCTCAATTCACCTTCATATTCGCAGAGATCACGTGCAAACATTAGCTTTTTCTGCACAAATTCGTTTGATCTACTTATCGCTCAGTCATCTGTGCTACTCACTAATAGACTGCCTGTTGAGGAGAGCCAGAAAACTTCACGAAAAAAACAAGAAAGCCTCTGAAAATACTGAGAAGCATCTTATCCAATCAGCGTTCACCAGAAATTTGAGCAAAAACATCAAGAAAGTGAAAAGTCACATGTAGAGTTTCTGAATGGATGATTACTATATTGCTACTATGTTTAGTAACATTCTAAAATTTTCAGAAAACTAAGGACATCTAAAATACTATAAAAACCCTATATTTTCTGTACATGAACGAACACATGGAGTAGAGTTTTTTTTTTACATATTTCGCGCATTTTCTCTCGTGTACAAGTCGCTGTGTAGATCTAGCCTGGGGGTTACTTGAAAAGCTTAGGAACCAAATCTAGCGTTCAATTAAGTAGACTAATCAATGTAATCGTGTTGCCTTCTGAATCCATATACCGTCAGAGTTTATTTAATAACGCTTATCACGGTGATTGATGTACCAAGCCTATGAAATTATCTCGAATCTTGTTTACTGCAATGTATATAACTCAATAGTTATTGAATTATAATTTCACACGAAATCGTTTACACACCAATCATCATCATTGTTATTGACAGAAAGTGATACAACGTTATACTGATTGATAAGTGGCACACAGAGCAATTTGCACATGGATTCGTTTAAATGAATATTCAATAAACATCGACTGTAGATGTATAGACAAGGAATGTATCAAAAGATGAACTTGTTTCACAGTGAAGTTACAACAGACATTTGCTTGTGGGTAATTCATGATTCTCATCAACAGATGATATTTAGAATGAAGAAGCTTAGAGAGTATCACGATTGAGTAAGTCAATAGTAATAAGGATGAACAAGAACAACGTTATACTCACCTGTTTATTTGATTACAAATCTCTTTCGAACGTTTCACATAGTATCGCATATTTATATTCCTCCCACTCGCCGTAACAACAACTAATTGTCATCTAGTCATTACTCTGTATCACAATGTTGTAAACAAATGAGTAGAAATGACTGAAATTTCAACTACAATACACCTGACAAGTTTGATAGTTACCAATACATCATCTACATAAATATATCTCTGTGTGTGTGTTATTTGTGACACCTTTTTGATCAAATTGAATCGAATCAACTACCACCATATATTCGGTCATAAATGTGACCAGTTTTGAATGAGGGTCCTGCATATTTTGTTTGATGGTACTTGTTAAGTGTCGAAAAATTGGGAGAATAAACTGAAAAGTAAATTGTTATGAAGCTGATTTACGGTGAACGTATATAAAATAGTTTCACTGTGTGTGTTGTCAAGCTATTGGTTTATTGTATTTTGACATTATACTGATTTGGAACGTCCCATTTCACAGATCATCTATGGTTTGTTTTGACCAAACAATTAGTGTAAATGAATTAGAGACCTGTTACTCGCCATTGTATCTCCGATATTGCTTGTTGATATTTCTTATTTATTTTATAAATTAGGTTGAATAGCCATAGTCTGGAATGTGGTGATCATATCACCTAATCTGAATGTACATATCATCATAAGGACAAGTGAAAGTCGAAATCAAACAGACGAATCCTTTGACTTTCTAGTTTAACAAATAGGATAACGGTGACCATATGTTGGATTTATAATAAGACAAGAGCTTATTATTAGCAGGTAGAAATTTAAGGCATAAGAACAATGTTTAATCTGGCTAAACTGATATGAAAACATCATTGAATACTAATAGATCGTAGATTATAAATTTGAGTTACACAATAAAGAGACATCTGCTTACTGTGTTCTATTCGATTCTGGCTGTCAAGCAAGAGAACATTCAAAAACTTCATTCTAGACTTATAATTTTTAAGTATTTTTTAGTTGATATCCCTTTGTCAGCGTTTGATTGGTTAGCAGGTCATATAAATCATCACGACGAAACCAACAATACTTGAATTCAATCAAACGACTACTCTCCTGCATTTTTAGTCTGACCACACAGCACTCAGTAAATAATTCAAGCATTTCTCCTTTTTCTGTCACATCAATTTCTTAAATGAAATCGTTTGTAATTCCATCTCCAATTTTATCTCGATTGTTCATCAGTTTTATATTTCAATGATAAATAACAACTTTTTATTTTGACTTCACTTTCTGTTCAAAATGATTTGGGAGGAGGAACAAGTGCCGATGGACTGGAAAGAAGGACACCTCATCAAGATTCCAAAGAAAAGAGATCTGAGCGAATGTGAAAACTACAGAGGCATTGCACTGCTGTCAATACTAAGGAAGGTCTTCATCAGAGTGTTGCTTAACTGGACGAAAGATGAAGTGGACGCCCAACTTCGAGATCAACAAGCTGGATTCCGTAAGGATCGATTGTGCACAGACCGAATTGCAACACTACGGATCATCGTCGAACAACCAGTTGAGTGGAAATCGTCACTATACATCAACTTCATTGATTATGAAAAGACAGTTGACAGTGTAGATAGGAGGACGTTATGGAAACTTCTTCAACACTACGGAGTTCCTGGGAAGATTATCAACATCATCCGGAACTCATATGACGGACTACAATGCAAGGTCGTGCATGGAGGACAGCTGACAGATGCATTCCAAGTAAGGACCGGAGTCAAACAAGGCTGTTTACTCTCCCCACTTCCACTTTCTTCTGTTAATCGACTGGATTATGAAGAACTCGACATCTGAAGGAAAACACGGAATACAATGGACAGCTCAAAATCAATTGGACGATTTGGGCTTTGCAGATGACCTAGCACTCCTATCACGTACACACGAACAGATGCAGATGAAGACAGCCAGTGTGTCAGCAGTCTCTGCATCAATAGGCCTCAACATACACAAAAGGAAAACCAAGGTCCTCAAAGTCAAGGCGGAGAACAGCAATCCAATCACTTTTGATGGCGAAACTTTGGAAGATGTAGAATCCTTCACATATCTAGGAAGCATCAGCGACGAACAAGGAGGCTCAGATGCAGACGTAAAGGCAAGGATTGGCAAAGCAAGGGTCGCATTCCTACAAGTGAAGAACATATGGAACTCAAAACAACTTTCAACCAATATCAAAGTGAGAATCTTCAATACCAACGTCAAGGCAGTTCTACTGTATGGAGCTGAAACCTGGAGAACTACTACAACCACCATCAAGAAGTTATAAGTATTTATAAATGGTTGTCTACGCAAGATACTCAACACCCATTGGCCGGATATCATCAGCAATAGCCTTCTGTGGGAGAAAACAAACCAGCTCCCAGCTGAAGAAGAAATTAGAAGAGGACGATGGAAATGGATAGGACGTACATTACGCAAATCATCAAGCTGCATCACGAGACAAGCCCTAACTTCGAATCCTGAAGGGAAGCGGAAAAATGGAAGGACAAAGCACAAATAACGTCAGAAAATACAATCAGATATGAAAAGGATGAATAACAACTGGAAGGAGCTGGAAATGATTGCTGAGGACAGGGTTGGATGGAGAATGCTGGTGAGTGGAATATGCTCCTTCACGATGAGTAACAGGCGTAAGTAAGTAAGTTTCATTTTGACTTGAGTCATTACATCGTTAGCTTTATCGTTTGTAAAATTCCTTAGATTATTTGTGTAGAGTGAATCCTCACGAACATTGTTATTGCTGATAGTGTCTGGTCAACGGATTCGAAGTATTTGGCGT